ACGCCTCAGCGTTGTTATTGGTCGATCATTTCAGCCGGTTTGCTGTGGTGGTGCCCCTTAAGAACAGCACTTCGACGGCTGTGGTAAATGCTATGGTGACGGTAACGGATCTATTCGGTCCCATGGCCGTTCTGCGCACAGATCGAGGCCCATGTTTCCGTTCGAAGCCGTTCGCTGACTTCGTGCAATCCCGCGCCATTGCTCACAAGCTACTGCCGCCATACTCCCCTTTCTCGAATGGGATCGTCGAGCGGGCGGTCGCCGCAGTAAAGTTTGTGGCTCGCCAAGTTGCCTCCAAGAGGAGTTGGCCTACTCAGCTCGGTAGAGCTATATCCCGCTTGAATAACAAACCTCTCTCTGGTATTGCTCTCTCACCCCATGAGATCTTCTTCGCGAGGCGTCGTCGTTTCTCGGTGGAGAATGCAGTAATTCCTGCGGACGAAGGAGCAGTTCATCCGGCTGGCTCGGAAGAAGCGACCTCTAGGGAAGAGGTTCGAGACGAGATAGATCGTATTGTCAACGAAGCTAGGGCGGCCGAAGCCGAGCTGCGGTCGCAACATCTAGGGAGGAGGCCTCGCGGCCCACCTCCTGTTGGTTCGGAGGTGTTGATTTTTTCCCCCAATCCTCTAGGTGGAGGAAGTTATGGTCAAGAGATATATAGAGTGTGTGGTGTGATCGGGGCGGTTACCCTTCGTTTGGTGAAGGCGTCAATCAAGCCCGAAGATGTGACGGATGATAAGATCAAGGAGGTTCACTTACCGAGCATCCGGGGGGCATGTCAGAGCACCCTCTGGATAGGCGCCTTTAGACAGCGTATGCGTGCAGGGGATGCTCGTCGCACGCGCGCACATGTTATTGATCATCGACGCCTTTAATATTCTCGATCTCGCTTTTGGCAGAACAGCCTAAGTTTTACGACGATCAGTTTGGTTTAAGAGGTTCAACTTTATATAAGAGATCATAAGGCACTTAGATTTTCATTCTTTGAGACCTTAATGGCGCAGAGTTCAGTCCAGTCTGGCAGAACCCTAACAGTGAGTAATAACCCCTGATTCACTGATTTTTTACTCTGGAGCGAAAAATCAGGATCATCGCGAGGACATGTGGATCTCTGAGCTGATTCGAGAATCTAAAGTTGATTTTTTGGCTGATTAATACTCTTACTCAATATGCCTTGCTCATGAGGCTGATTTTTCGGGTGATTCCATTGAATCTGAGTATTTTCGAGAATCAGGGAATCAGAGTTTGAATCAGACATTTTTGACAAGACGAAGATTATAGTCGCTCTTGGCTGATTAATACTCTTACTCAATATGCCTTGCTCATGAGGCTGATTTTTCGGGTGATTCCATTGAATCTGAGTATTTTCGAGAATCAGGGAATCAGAGTTTGAATCAGACATTTTTGACAAGACGAAGATTATAGTCGCTACGCCCCACAACCGAAAGTGACAATTTCAAGAAAGGAAGAAAACGTCACTGTACGAGGGTTGAACCTGGTAGATTCGCCCCGAATGCATGCACATTTCCCGTTACGTTACAGCAATGATAAAATTTCGGAAGAAGATCTTCTGTCGCACTTGTACACATCCGTACTTCAAACTTTTCAATATGTTCACTCGGAATCAACTAACTCCGGGTTTCTAACTCAGAAGTTCTAAGAGGAAGCTCAGCGCTAGAGCTTCCTTCTAGAGCTTCCTTTGATAACCGGTAGCGTGATCGGGTGTCGTTATCGGACAATCCCTCAAGAGGATCGACGAAGGGCATTTATTGTTTTTATGAACAATTAATCGAATTAAGGAATGCGTAGTTCACAGTGTGAACTTCACACCGTGTGGCTGCATGTACTACATGCGCTATACCTCCATACACCGTTTTATATCGTATGACCTCATAGTTGAACTGGTTAAGGTGATACTTTCATGTGCTCGAAGCCGGGGT